CGCCGCCCGCGCGCATGCGCAGCCCCGCGCGAGGGGCGGGGCGGTGACGGCACGCGGGGCGGTGACGTCACGCGGGGCGGGCTGAGGGCGGGCGGCGCCATCTTGGAGCTGAGGGCGGAGCGGGACCGGGCAGGGCTGGGTGAATAACCCCGGGACACGGACTCGCTTAGCCCGGAGGTGACCCCCGCGAGCGGCCTGTCCGTCCTGTCACCGAGCGCTCCCGTGTCAGCCAGACTCTGCCACTCAGTGCCGTGCCCAGTCTTTCCTTAAACACCTCCAGGGTGGCTGCACCACCTCCCTGAGCAGCCCGTTCCAATGTCTGGTCACACTTTCTGTGGAGAAATCACTCCTGATGTCCAGCCTTAACCTCCCCTGGTGCAGCTGGAGGCCGTTTTCTCCTGTCCTGTCCTGTCCTGTTGCTATTGCCTGGGAGAAGAGGCCGATCCTCACCTGCCCACATCCTCCTGCCAGGTAGAGAGTGATCAGTAGCTCAGGGAGTGAAAAGGCCTCGGGCTGTGGGCTCAGGGAGAGTGCTGGGGATGTCCCAGGCATGAGGGGGTCAAAGGGGCCCTCAAATGGTGCAGTTCTGTTACCACAAATGTGTTTTTAATTACATGGATTCCTGGGATGATTCTACTGAAATAATAACATCACTTGAATGAACACAAGATCTCCAGGAAAAAAAAAAATACAAAGATCTAGGTTATCTTTTAGTTCTTTATTGGGCCCTGGCATGGCTGTAAGGTGGTGGGAGATGTGTTTGCTGCTGGGGAACAGGATTTCTTTATCCATTTTCACCTGGAGCAGGGCTTGTGTCCAATTTACTGTGTAGTATAAAGGAATGGTAAGAGGGCCAGAACCTTGGAAGGCTGCTGTGAAACACACCTGGGCATAAAAATATTGCTCAGTTTATTTACTTTATCTGGGCACTGTGAACTGTTAAAAGTGCTTTGATTTATTTGTTCTTCTCTTATTTTTTCAAATTACAGTTACCTCTTCCAGTACATTTCTTTTGTATGATTTTATTTTATTTTATTTTATTTAATAAATAGTTTAAAGACAGCTTTGTTTCCATACTGAAAGAAGCTATTCCCAGGTACTGTGTGTACCTGCACAAGTGCTCTGTGGTCATGGACATGATGCATTTTATACAAAACAGCCCTCAAACCACTGGGGCTTGCCACGTGCACACACACCTGCTCTCCTAAATCCACACTGGAGGTAGATTTTGCCTTTCCACACCTTCATCCTCTGGATTCAGGCTTATGAGATGCCTAACATATCAGAGTTTTAATTTAAAAGGAATTTGCACGTGGATTTTTGGGGGAAACAGAAGATCTGAGATTTATTTGGTACAATATTTTGGTGATGAAACTAAGACTTAAGTTCTGTATCCTGAAGCAAATTTGTAGCGAGAGCTATATAAACAAAACTACTCTTGTTTGTAGAAAAAGAAAAAAAAATGAAAACCAAAAAACTTTAGGTAAGCAACAGACACTAACGTTTATGAACAAGAGAAAACAAAGAATCAGCAAAATAAGCAAACATCTGTCTAGGATGAGGAAAAATTCTAAAATAAAACAGGTTTGTGAGATGTGCTGCTGCAGCAGCCTCAAAACACAACACTCAAGTGTTGAGCAGGAGGTGAGAGCAGCCAAGGTTTGCTTCTCCCAGGTTCTCCTGACGCCTTTCATCCTCTGACAGTCTGGGAAGTGCTCTCTGCAGAAGGGCAGCAGTGGCACCTCTCAGCACACTGCCCCAGCAGCTCACCCGTGCAGCTCTAGGGGCTTGTGGAGAGCAGCTGGAAATGGGGCTGAGTCTGTCCTGAACCCGAGGGTGTGAGCAGCTTCATGACAGTCTGACTTACACTGATGTAAAATGGGTCTGCCTCAGTCTTCATCATCCCAGCAGCTGTGATTAATCTCTGTATGAGGTGCATCAGGAGTCTAGAATGATCCGATTCACATCTTTAAATGTAAATTAGCAGTGGCTGCTGGGAGACACAAAAGATTCCATAAGAACAGTTTCTTTAGCTGAGGGAAGACAGGCAGGAATTGAAAGAAACCTAGGTATTTTAAGAGTATTGTGAACAATGTTTTGATGTAGTTGTATGAAATGTGTTTAACTCTACAACATGTGATGGTTATTATCACTGTGATGATTGCAGTTCTGATAGCACGTGTGTTTACAAAGCTGTGTGCAAAATGAGGGAGCAGTCAGCTCTGGCTCTGCAGCTCTGTCTGGATTATTGACCCATGGCATGGGACACCCTTTTGTACTCACTACTGTGCCTTGCAGAAAGGGTTTCAGGTGGGGTTTTCCCCCAGGTGACCTATCTGAGGGCCTAGAGCTTGACTTAGGAAATAGCTAATCGCTTTAAAAATCCAAACCTAAATCCAACATTTAGATAAGTTTTTCATCAGGTACATTTTTACAAAAGGTCCAGCACCCCAAGAACTTTTTGAATGCAGAAATGCTACAGAGTTAGCTCTGAAAAGGGAGGCAGGAAAAAAAATAAGATATTTATGTATGTCTATGACGTGGCAGTAGGCAGTCCCAGGGAGAAAGCTGTTTCAGAGCAGTGGTGGGACAGGGCCAGGTCAGCCAGAACTCCCGCGGGCTCACTGGGCTGCCCAGTGCCAGTGTGCTGCTGGGCGTGCATTGCCGTGTGACACTTTGAACGACTGCAGCGAGCTGGTGGAGGTGTGTTCAGGAGAGCTGGTGCACCACAGTGAAAAGGAATGTTTGTAGTGCAAAAGCAAGCTGGGGTTTACATGGACTGTGCACAGAAATGTTGTGGGAGCAGAAAGCTTTGGCTTTCGGGTAACAGCCCTAATTCAGTGAGTTTAGTGGAAATCCATTGCACTCTGATCGCGAATCAAAGGCCACTTGCCAAAGACTCAGACTTTCACCCTCCTTTCTGTTCATTTCCCAGCTGCAGCGCTGGGTGGCGGAGGGCAGGACACCAGCGGCACTCCGGTCAGCGGAGGGAGCTGCGGCCCGCAGCAGTGCCGGCCCGGCCCGCCTGGTGGCAAACTGCTTTCGCTGGAAGCGCCTCCTTCAGAGCGGAGGGAGCTGCGGCCCGCAGCAATGCAGCAATGCCGGCCCGGCCCGCCTGGTGGCAAACTGCTTTCGCTGGAAGCGCCTCCTTCAGCAGCTCCGGCAGCAACAAACGCGCTCTCTGGGACTGCACGCTGTAATCTCATCCCCGTCATTTTCGCGTTTTCAGGGCCCTGCTCATCCCTCTCGAATAGCAGTACTGCCTCCATAGATACTGTGTTAACAAACGCGGGGTTCGTGCTGCAGAGATAGCGTCTGTGTCTCAAACTCCTCTCAGTTTCTGGGGGCAAAAGTTTTCTTCATCTTCTCCGTGTAGTCCTGGAACGGCAGAAATCAATATTCTGACATCTGTAAATCCTTTGTTCCCCTTTTCAGCAGGGCTTTATCAGCTTTGGGAGGGAGGGATGGGGGAAAGAGGGCGTTGAGAGAGCCATTGTCCCTTCTCTCGGGAATGATCTGGAACTACTATGCAAATCTTCATTTGAAGACCCTGGGAACTGGGGGAGGGCTTTAGCTGCGAGCTCAGTGGGAGGGGAGCTCTGAATCCCTGCTCACATACTCCTGCCTAGTGCAGGGAGCTGGGAAGAGCCTTTTGAACGAGCAGAAGAGACATTTTGTGCTTTGTGCGCTCCTGTGAGGCTTTGCACTCTTTATGTCTCCTGTTTTGTGCCTTTTTTATGCCTATTTCTTCTAAATGCTTGCATAAGAATGGGGGGCGGGGGGAGCGATCCAAGAGCTGCGATTAGCAGTGATGGAGTCAGAAGGGTTCAGGGTGCCGCGCCTCTCCTGCCGCCCTCTCACAGCCTGGACTCTCCCACCAAGCAGTGGAGCAGCTGCAGTGGTTCTAAGACATCCACATCCCGATTGCTGGCATTAGCATATGGCACAGGCACGGATTCAGTAAAGCAAATGATTCAGCTGGTCAGGAGTAGTGGAGTAGAATAATTTGTAGTTCTGAAATTATCGCGTTGTAGCCAGGTCTTCTCTTAAAAAAAGACCAAGGACCCGCAGAGCAGAAGCTGCTTTGTGAAACGCTGTGGGCTGTCCTGGCTTGGCTCCGAGCTCCGTGTCACCTGTTTTGTATTAGGGCAGGGTCACACAACTGCCAAGTTTCCTGAAGTTACGGAGGGTCTTCCATAGGCCTCGTGGAAGGGGAGACATCCTGGCCTGACTTGGTAGGCACATGGATGAACAGGAGAGTGGGGGAGGGACAATTCAGATGCATATCTAGGCATTTTTGTTTTTATAACTACTGTAAAGGTAGTCATAGTTCTTTTGATTTGCTGACCTTCATTTTCAGGTCATCTGTCTTGTCGTTTATTTTTCAAACTTTGAGGGGTTTAATGCTCCAGAAAACTAAAATTTACTTTTGAACAATGACAGCCCTGGAAAATGGAACACTACTCACTCTCTCCCGGACAGCTGAGAAGATGTGACCACTTAAAAATCTCATCTTCTGTCAAAACCGTAGGAACACACGCCCTGAGCCCTGATGCTGTGCTACCCCCCATGTGAAAGCCGAAGTGTAAACCCCTGGTGTTTGTCCTGCAGCTACTTCACTGCTTCGTGCTCCACAAGCTCATGGGAATGCTGTGCTACCTCCCATGTGAAAGCCGAAGCAGTGTAAACCCCTGGTGTTTGTCCTGCAGCTACTTCACTGCTTCGTGCTCCACAAGCTCATATGCACAACTGGGTCTGAGTCTGCGGGTCTGAATCTGCTCTCGTTTTGCATGACTCAGCTGGCTGGGGTGAACCCCTGGGATTGTGCTAGCTGGAAGCCAGCCTGGACGTGCCCTCTGGCTCCTGTAAGTGCCCCCAGCACCTGTGCACGCTCCCGCATCCGTGCAGATGCT